GTTTTCAGCCGTAGACTCACGGACACTGAAAAGCAACTGGTGGTTACCATTGGGGAGGGTTTGGGATGGAGGAGTCACAAAAATGCTCAGTTATATTAAAAGTTGGTCATGGGGATGGCAGTGCAGCATGGAGAATACAGGCAATGATTCTGTAACATCTTCCTATGTTGGCAGATGGCAACTGCGCTAGTGGGGGTGAGGATTTAATAATATGGGTAACTTGAACCACTGTGTTATATATACTTGAAACCAATATGAGATTGTATAATGGTAATACTTTAATAAAAAAATAAATAATCTGTCTTGATTTGATGAAGGTATTTCAGCCTTATCTGGGTGCTACCAAATTTGGCATGTAGTGCTTGTTTGTTTAAGGTCATGCACTTTTAGGAGCCCCATAATCTTCTGGGTGATTTCCTCTTTAACCTAGATTGCTTCTAGTGTATTGTTCAGTCCCTAGATGTGTGAACTCTTTTCAAATTTATTTAGAATTTTATTGCATTATTACAGAAAAAGAGTTGTGTATTATTGACCTTGGAACTTAGTGAGGTGTCCTCTGTGGCCCATATAATAAATTTTCCTTTAGGTTCTTTGTGTGATCACAAACAGTTTGCCTATTGGATATAATATTCTCCACAAGCCCAGGTTCGGTAACTGGCATTCCAATCTTCTGGATCTTTGCTCATTTTTCACCTGCTGGACTAGTCAGTTTCTGAGAGAAGTACATTCAGATTTCAAACAACACATTTTGATTTATTTTCCCCATGGTACTGCCACTCATTTCACATACACACGTACATTCTTTAGTAGGTTTCTGCTACTAAAAGTCATGTAGACATATTTACTCCTATGAATGCTGCTCACTATAAACACTAACATACCCACATTTGATATACAGGTATTTATGTATGTACGTGTCTGTGTATACTTTATGCATAAAGTCCATGTGTATACCTCATGTGTGCAAGAGTTTACAGATGTTAAAAATATCTGGTTGCTTGTATAAAAAAATTACTGGGGATTATATATTGGCATGTATGTATGTGTGCACATACGGGTATACATATGCAGGTGTGTGTGCATGTGTGTGTACCTGCATGCACTCAGAAAAGGCTGACACACATGTGGTAAAATGTGAACATTTGGGGAATCCAGGTGGAAAAATGTATCCGGAAATCCTTTGGACCATTTTGCAACTTCTCTGCCTGAAATTATTAAAAAAAAAAAAGTTCAAAACTTAAGTTGTCAAAAGGAGTGGAAACAGTCAGCTCTAAGGAGCTTCCCTGGCCACAGGTATGGCAATTTAAGTCTCAAAAAGAATGCTTTGAAACACTTGAAGAAAGAGAAATCCAGAAAATAAGTTGTCCTGTGGTATTGGGCTGTGATGAAACTAAAAGAGCCGCGCACCCGGATCCTCCCCCAGCCAATCCGGACCCGGATCCTCCCCTCACCAGTCAGCGAAAAGCTCACCAACTCCCCAACCAATCAGCCAGAGCCACGACCATCACCCCACCAACTGCCCCTAGACCCCTATAAAACCTTTGTGCTTTTGAAACTTGCTCTCTTTCTCCAGCATCTCACAGCTGCTTCGGTGCAGATAGGAGCTTGAGCTCGAGCTAGCTCGAATAAAGGCTCTTTGCTTTTGCATCGGTGTTGGCTCCTCGGTGGTCTTCTGGGATCCGCGACTTTGGGCATTACAGAAACCACGCTCTCCTCTGAGCACTGTGGCCTAAGGGAAGGAACGTGGCACGAGCCAGTCCTTTAGCCAGACTTCACCTGGTGTTACCAAAATTTACCTCGTGGCCACCAGGCCTCATCCCAGGACCGCTAGGCTTCACCCTGGGGTCACCAGGCCTCACCCCGGAGCCGCTAGGCCTCACCCTGGGGCCGCAAGACCTCCTCAACCCGGGGGTCGCCAGGCCTTACTCTGGGGCCACCAGACCTCACCTGGGAACGCCAGACCTCACCCCAGAATCACCAGGCCTTACCCGGGGGCTGCCAGACCTCACCCTGGGACCGCCAGACCTCCTGACCCCGGGGCCGCCAGACCTCCTGACCCCGGGGCCGCCAGACCTCCTCACCCTGGGGCCGCCAGCCCTCCTCACTCTGGGGCTGTCAGGCCTCACCCTGGGACCGCCAGACCTCCACACCCTGGTACCACCAGACCTCCTCACCCCGGGGCCACCAGGCCTTACCCTGGGACCACCAGACCTCCTCACCCCGGGGCCACCAGACCTCACCCTGGGACCGCCAGGCCTTACCTGAGGGCCGCCAGACCTCCTCACCCTGGGGCTGCCAGACCTTCTCATCCCGGGACCGCCAGACCTCCTCACCCCGGGGCCGCCAGGCCTTACCTGAGGGCCGCCAGACCTCCTCACCCTGGGACCGCCAGACCTCACCCTGGGACCACCAGTCCTCCTCACCCCGGGGCTGCCAGGCCTTACCCTGGGACCGCCAGACCTCACCCTGGGACCACCAGTCCTCCTCACCCCGGGGCTGCCAGACCTCACCCTGGGACCACCAGTTCTCCTCACCCCGGGGCTGCCAGACCTCACCCTGGGACCACCAGCCCTCCTCACCCCGGGGCTGCCAGACCTCCTCGCCCTGGGGCTGCCAGACCTCCTCACCCCGGGACCACCAGGCCTCACCCCAGGGCCGCCAGGCAGCTCCTCTGATGGCACAGGGCCAGTGAAGGACTTTGGGACATTGGCTGATCACCTGGGGCTCAGTGTGAGAGGTGTGCTGGCTGGGCCCCCAAAATGAGCCCACGTGGACAGCTTCCTGGTCACGAGGAGAAAGCCCTGGCCACAAGGACTGCGCTGGCAGCACCAGACCCAGGGGGCAATTGCAGCATCGCTGACAGTAGGTTAAAAAGACATGAAATGTCTTCTGACTGGAGTTCACATGAAGGACACTGTTATCAATCAAATGTATTATAACCAGAAGATGCAGGTGAATTATTAAACCTCGAGCCCTACCTTCCAGATCCAGGACATGCTGGAAAAGGGGAGTGGCCGCAGAGCTAGAGGGCACACACCTGCGGGACAACATGCCTGCTTCCACACGCTGGTGTCATGGGCACTGGAGGATTAAGGACATGTCAGAAAGCAGACACCAGAACACAAGGTGTGGCTTGATCCTGGCTGGGCACACCAGTGAAGGGCTTTGGGGACACTGGGGAAATCCACAGGCCAGGGTATCAGACGAAACTTAGACATGGGAAGTCGGAGATTGGTAACTGAAACATACGTTATAAAACACAAGTACGGCATGACCTCATGTGGGCAAAAAATAAACAAACCAAAAGCCATATAGGTGTGTATATGTCCACAGAAAGTTAACTGAAAGATACGTAAGGTAGAACAGTGGTTATCTCTGCATGAGGGAATATGGCGTTCCAGTTTCTACTTCTTGTCTATTTTCTAACATACACATGCACATATGCATATGGCATCTATTTATCCATCTATCATCCATCTATCTATCCATCCATCCATCTATCTACCTATATAGTTTTAAAAGGAGCAGAGGAGTGGGGGGTGGAGAAAGTGAATGTAGACTGTGCTGGATTTCTGCTGGGAAGGGGAGCCACTGGAGGATAACGTGGGACTGAGCACATGGGTGACAGTGGGAACCATGGGGACAGAGGCGGGGAGAGGAGGCCGGCCATCCAGCCCTCTGTCGGGACAGCTGGGCAGCTCTGAGCGCACCTGAGAATCCCATGCAGCTCAGCGTTGCTGCCCAGATATTTACCTTTTATAGCACCTTTAGTATGATAATTTACTGCTTAAAAATACCTAAGAAATCAACGTGGAAATGGAGAGCTGTCCGCGTGTAACTATTAGTGGTCTGTACTGAGCTCTTGTGGGGATTAAATCAGATTAAAAAAAGGAGTGTGACCGTTATCAGCTGAAAAACAAAACAAAGCAAATCAGGCAGCTCTGCTCCAGGGGACCGGTGTCCAGTCATGGGAAGTCACACCCAGCTTGTGCCTGATGGTCATGATCCTGGAGTCAACAGGCCACAGCAGGGTGGCCCCGCATCAGGTCGTTGGCCCTTTGTGGAGTTGTGGGAACACAGAGGCCAAACAAGCCATTCGTTTTTCACACGGAGACAAAACAAGGCTGACCCGTGACCCACCCTGCTCGCCTACCCACTCACTGACCTGGGACAATGACTGGTTTCCTCAGTGTCCGAGGGACAGCCAAGCGTAGGTCCGGATGGGGAGCTGGTGCTCATCACCTCACCTGCTCCTCCCAAGCAAAATGAGAGAGAAGGCAACAGTATGAACTCTGGGACACAGGGACACTCTGGGAACTGGTGCACGGGGACAGACCTGTTTCCCTTCCCAAAAGGTGACCAAACAAGATCAGAATGCTGCTTTTGTGTGCTCATGACCTTTACGAGGTGTCCGTCAAGAGGCTTCCTCCTGGCTCCGTGGCAAGGTGCCGCTCTGCAAGGACAGGACCATAGTGCTGCGGAGCTGAGGGGCCCCACTGAGTGGCCAAGTGCTGGACAGAAGGGTCCTGTCACGGTGGTGGCTGGAGAAAAGAAAGTAAGTCATTGAGGGTCCTTCTACTGTGGTTTTAAGGAGTGAACATCTAAAGTGCCTCAAAACCAGACTCAAAATCAAAGTGGCTTATCCCACAAGCCAAACCACAGGCACAAAGGCACCAGGAACAATTTTAAGTGACACAAGGGAAGATGGAGATGGGTTCTCCTGACCAACGCTTTGTGAGGAAACAATCATACCAATACACTCAATATTCAGGTTTGTACTTTCATGTTTCTGAAACTTAGATTCAGGAATTTGCAGAACATTTTCAGCAAGAGAACTAACAGAAAGGTTTGCCTTTCAGTTTAAAAACATTTGCTAATACTGATTGAAATGATGACACTCCAGCGTCTACCCATGTTCATGTTAAATTTGTGACCGGAGATGGTGATGTAGAAATATACAGTGTCACTTAAAAACACACAAAAATTGGACATGCTATACATTTCTCTTTTAAAATGCATCTGTATTATTTTCACCAATCAAAACACACATTATATATTTTATTATAAAACATTAGGCAATGTTACTTTGAGATATGCAATCGGACAGGTCACACCTGTATTTACTACCAGTATGAAATACTGGAGGAGTTACATTAGCAATCAACCAGGCAAACGCATACATCAATACCATGGCTTCCACGGCATCAAGTCCGGACCACACCAGTATCCGTCAGCTCGGGACTCAGGTGTCAGCAAGGGGCCCTGCGAGGGTTTCCTCCTCTCTGCACTGCAGCTCTGTGTTTTGCATCCCCAAGGTAAGAACAGAGCCCTACTTCTATCTCCATGACCACAGCTGATCAGCAATGTGTATCTCCTACTCTGATGGACTGTCTGCTCTCTGAAACCTGTGCTTGAAAAATCAAGACCTGACATAGGGGAGGCAGTCACGTCCTTTTTGACGGAAAACTAAGCCAACAAACAAAACAAACCTAGTCCAAGTTCCAGGCTAATAGTACATTACCTGGTTTATAAAAATATGTCCAAAATAGTTACTTCCGGGGTTGTGTATAATATAAATTACAAAAATAAAATAGAAAAGATGAAAAAGTTGAGCACACGTTTCAGCTCTTTATCCAACATCAGCACTTGTCCACAGAGGTTGGCTGGAAACCACCTGTATGGCACCAGCATCTGGCACCCTCGGCACAGGAGGGAGGACCATACGAGCTGAGGTATTCCTCTGGGGCTCTGAGGCCCACTGATGGTCCTGGGGCCTTGTGTGACTAACCAAAGGCAGGTGAGGCAGGAAGCCCATCCCTGCCTACCGGGCTCCATCCAGGAGTGCTCAGTGGAAGGAGGGCATCCAGCTCCTCTGAAGGAGGGCGCCTGGCAGACGTGACCTCCTGTACCCCCAGCGCCTTAACCGAAGCCCAGGGTAGATAATGCATTTGTCAAACTCCCCTTTCTTTGTTTTTCTTTTTAAAGATAGGTTTAGTAAGGCCCTTAAAAAGCATGTATGTTATAGAGAAGGCCATTTTAAGATGTTTATGTATGTTCAGTGCTAACTATATCGTCAGGCCTCCAACACCAAAGTAATCCTGAGCCATGTAACAGGTGTTTCTGCTCAATCCCCATTGGTTTTTCCATGTGCATCTGAACGTGTCAAAACATCACAATATAGAACTATCATTTCAATGTTAATTTTGTTCACCAAGGGGGTTCCAGTTTCCAGTGATAAGACCAACCAACAAGATACAACTGGTACAGAGAGAAGCATTTATCTTAGATGAGATTTATAATAAACTTTCTGGTCAAGGTTCCTGCTCAGAATGCATTCTACAGAATGTCGACCCAATGACTTCCAAGATAGGTAAACACAAGATGCGACTGTAACAGAAGCTCAAGGGAGAAGCATTTTGAGCACAGTGGCGCACGTGTGACCACTGTGACTCCATTTCTGCAGTGACACTTCAATACTCAGTATCTTAGGGAATTCTGAGTAATTTCCATATCAAAAATTCTAAAAGTATCAATTTCAGGTGAGCAGTTTTAAATCAGAAAATACTCAATAGTTAATCATGACTCCTCAGGGCATTTCCTCTATATCCCTCTGAAGAGTTTTTCCAGAACATATGTGGTGTTCCCTGAAGAGGAAATGCCTCCACAAAGTGGGAACCAACATGAACAGGCCTCTGAATCAGCCCAGCTTCCTCACACAGACCGAAGGGGGCTTGTGTGGTTTCTTCAGTAAAGAAGGAAAGTGGAGTACGGATTTCATGTTGGAAATGGGAAACACTACCCTGTGTGGTCCTGTACCTGACCTTGAATGACGGGAGGTAAGAAAGGACCCAGTCCAGGCTAGGCCAAGCAAGCACTTAATAAGTGACTTCATCACTTATGATCCTTGTGTGAAATTCTACTCTACCAGCAGCGCTGGATTCAAGAATCTATTTGCCATCATATCACTGACATGGAGTGTTAGGTGGCTAATAAAGAAAGTGGAATTCTAGGTAGCATTTTAATAATACGTCCTGAAGACCAAGAAGAAAGAGATAAGGTAGATAGGATTTTAAAGTTATATATGTCTTAAGCAGCACCAAACAAAACTTAAAATTTTGTATCATGCAGTAAAGCTGAATGTACGATCATTCCAGACTAGTTTAGAGAAAACAAAGTGTCCATATAAATGCCTTGATTTTAGCAGTGATAATTCTCACCCCAAAACATGACAGATTTGTTATATTTTTATTTATTAAATAGATTTAATTATATTCCTTCTGAAGTACAAAATAGAATAAATCATACCATAAAAGAAGGTAAGATACGGTAATAGGATGGTGGCCAATTAATACACATAATTTTTTTTCTGGACAGACACCAAATTACCTAAAAGGATTAAGACATAATTCTAGAAGCAGCACTACTTGGAAGATTATTTGGCATTTAAATACTGATTTCCAAAGTGCCAGATGGCAAATCTAAGTGAGCGTATGTGGTCACATGCAAACAAGTCCCAACGGTGACTGAGGATGAGAAGTTGTCACGACTATTACCGTACAACTTAAAAAATTCATCTATTCCGATTGCTCACCTGAAATGACCTTGAACAAAATCTCTAAAAGTGTGGCTTGCACTTTTTTTTCTTCAGACATAATCTGCTTCATTTTATAATCTAAGCAGGCAGTCCTATTAGAACTGAGTAGGGGCAAGGCATCGTGTTTCTTACATGCAGAACATGGAGTTTTTCTATTTGGTTCCATCAGCTCCCAGGCGTGGCAGGCCCACGGAGCAACAGTTCCTCCCTGACAACAAGCTTGCTGTGTCTAACTTATCATCGGCAACCTTCCAGGGGTCCAGTTGAGGCATCAAGGCTGCTGTCTGTGTCTGAGGCCAGCGTCTGCTCGGTGGACATGGACGAAATGTCATTGATGGATGATGACTGAGAAGGCGTGGTGTTGCTATTTACTGCTGCATCTGTGCTAAGAAAACCAAATATAATAAAATCTGAGGCATGACACTGCTGCAGATGCAGGCAGGGAGATGTCAGGCCACTATGCAGCCCTGCCCTGCTGCAGTTTCCTCCTCTCATTCTTGGTCTAAACAAGAAGTTAGTCTACCGTACATTCTGAACTTCCCCTGGAGTCTTCCTTAGGCCTGGAATCAAACCTTCCCGTGTCCTTCCCTGCAACATTCCCCTCCTTTCCCTCGTGACTGGACATCATATATGTACTTACTATGTCAGCTAGTTAAAAATACCTGCTGATTTTAAAAAGATATTAAGAGAAAACTGATGGATTTATCCTAAAAATATCAGTATTGCCAAAGGCTTAAGCCCAAATAGGATTTGAGGGTCATATAGACATTTCAACTACAATCAAATCATAAGCACTTTGTCCAAGGAAAAGAGCGACAACCTTTTTAAGAATTCTCTTGTAATAAAAACACCTTCTGAAATAAAGACTGTCTACAAACAAAAGGAGAAAAAGAAAAATAATTTAGCGGCCTCTTGTTAACTTTATTTTTGTTTTGTAAATCCCCAAAACTGACATGTTGATCTCTTAAGGTAAACGAAACTATCCTATTTCCCACTATGCTTATTTCACTCCAGTTTGAGCAAAAAGGGAACACCCAGGCTCCATGTCTGCAGCCTTAAATTTGTTTTATCAACAAACACCTTCATTTGTGCTGGACTTATATGACCTGGAGGTGCTTGAAACACCTTCATTTGTGCTGGACTTATATGACCTGGAGGTGCTTGACACATAAATCCAATAAATATGAATTAAAAAATCCAAGAAAAGGAAGTGAGGAGTGTACTCTGCACCCATGTGTATGTATGCATTCTCCAGTGGGGGTGGGCTGAGAAAGCAAACACACCTGGGGGGTCAATTTGAATCCCACCCACATAAGTTTATACCTCATATGTTATGCTTCTAATAATCATGGTTGTTAATCAGGCTTCCACCACTAGGCAGATCAAGTAGAAAAATGGGAGAATCACATGAACAATTTTCTCAAAAGCAAACCAACTCCATTTTACCTAGATTCACGTTAATTTTCCCTTTCAATGGGGTGGGGCCAGTACAAAGGGGGTCATGCATATTGAAAATGCTTTAAATTCAATTTCCTCATTTATGAACAGAGCAGACAGCAGCTGTGGCAGGCATGGAATAAGAATGCTTATAATGTGGTTAGTTTGGTGAGGCACATTGGTGATACGCCGACTGCCACCAACCAGGACAACTGAAAAGGGGGAGCTGTTTCACACAAGGAGTTTTCAAATTCCATGTGGGCCAAGCTGGCATCTAACATGCTGCTGTCATTTTAAGGAATCAAAACTATCAAAGCAATCACTAACCTGAAGGTTGATCTTTTACACCATTCTTGCTTCTTTCTTCCCAATCCATTACTTCTTTGTAAATTAGCTCTTCAAATAGAAATGCAAGTTAAAATGCTTCATCAGTATCTTTGTATCTCTAAATCCTGCTTCCAAATCAACTGGAACCATTCCCAGGGCACTGAGGTATGTTATTTTTAACTGTGACATATGGTTAGGAAAGTAATATAGTCTAGCTAGACTAGAACATCCATGCTTTGATCCATCCTATCTTTTCAACCCAACTATTAAGGCAGCCAAGAGAGTAGGGTAGTTCTGAATCCATGAGAGGGTTTTACAGAGAGGACAGAGAACTTGCAAAGTGACTGTAGCAGAACATTTTCAAGTTCTGTATTGGGTGTCCTCATGCCCGCTTACATGTTTCTCTCCACCATTACTTGTAGGTCCCCAAATGTAGCCAGTATCCACATGTAGGCTAGAAGCCTCTCCAGTCTGGCCAGATAGTAATCCAAATACCTCAGTCTTTTTTTGGCTTCAACCCCAGCTTCCTCAACCTTCATTTGTAAGAAAAATTCATTTTCTGCTGAGGAAGCTTTCAGGGGTTCCTAAAATTCTGGTATCATAAGCTGAACGAGCACACTGCAGGCACCTACCGAGGCCTGCGAGCGGCCTTTGGTAACAGGACGCGGCTGCGGGCAATGTGCCACAGAGGTGTGCATGCAGGTCCCTGGCACTCTGGACACCCTGGGGAAGGGCTCTTGGGCAGGACGCATCACCGCCTGACTTGCACAAGCCATGGTGCACCCCACACTGACTGTGCTTTATAATGAAAATGGTTAGTTCGCTCATTACTGGTTTAGTTTGTTGTGGGTTGTTTAGTTAATCTTATAATCTTTTGAAACAAATAATATGTGATTCATAGGGCTTCTCTTTAATTCTGTTGTTTTTAAGTTCTTTTTCTACTAGGAAGTGAGGAGAGACAAGGATAAGTGGGCTGTGGGGGTCCCCTGCCCGTCCCCTGGAAAGGCTACAGCTGAAAAGTGGAGAGCCACCCCTTTACAGACTGCAAGAAAGGTGCTAAGTAAAGATCAGAATAAGCTCTCTCTTTACCTTTCCATTCTTCAATTGCATGTTCTCTTTCTTCTAACTGGGCATCATAGATTTGAGGTGGTGGCTAAAAATTAAATTATACGTAAAGTCAACAGCTCAAAATATAATGAGGCCTGAAGCAAAAGGTAAATCATTTGCGAGATTCTAATCTCTGATAGAGAGGTATTTTCATTCAATACATGGCTTAGTAAATATTTCTTCACAAGTGTGATATTACATCAATTTCAGAATCAAAATTAGGGAAAAATTAACCAAAAAAATAAAGCTATTATGGTCTTAATAATCACCTGACCTTAAAACACTCTAAAGATTGTGCCCAAATGTAATTATAAAATTAGGAATCACACGCTGCTCCCTAGAGATCCACCCTGGACAAGGCACTGTGCTAGGAAATAGGGAAGGCACCAAACACAGCTCAGGTTTACAGGTCTTCACAGCAGGACCACCAAACCCAACCCCCAATTCGTAAGTAGGCCATTCCCAAAACCTGTTTAAATGTTTATAAGTTGGATTCTTTTCATATAAAACAATATTTAAAGTGGTGGTTAAATCTAGATGCTGAGACATAGAACCATGTTCTACGATGGCATACATCAGCAGGTCACAATGTGGTTAATTCACTGACAGCTACGGCCCAGCAAAGCCAGAGCTGCTATGGGGAGATGCACGGGAACATCCAACTCAGAAGGGTAGCTCCCTAGCAGGGGTTTCTGAGGAAGGATAAATAAACCTGTAATTCTCAGCCAGTTTCTTAGCCTTTCTCCTGGGCAGCCTAAACAAGAGGATGTTAGCAAAGTCAAGGTGCAGGGCAGACTGATGGGGCACACGCAGTGAACAGTGGCATCCAATGAAGGCATTATACCCCCGCAGCAGCAGCCTCTGCCTCCCCAGGTACTCCGAGCTAGAGCCCGAGGGGCCCGTGGCCCTGAAGGGCCCCAGATTCTCAGACAACCCTGGCCCCTTGGTGATCAGGAGTCCTTTTAAATCTAGGACTTGCTATCCGTATGTAGCCCCTCCAGACTAACAGATGGAAGGGCAGGGACACAGACACCTCTACACATAAGTCTTTTCAAAATAGATGCTTACCGCTTCTGCCTCAGCAGGATCATACCAAACGGTGATGTAAGGGTGGCGCAATGCTTCGTCCACAGAGATGCGCTTGTCAGGATCTATCACTAACATTTTTGATAACAAATCTCTGGCTTGACTTGCTAGGTGAAAACAAATATTAGATTAATAAACTAATGCTGTTAATCTGGAACACAGAACATGTAACAGCACAGAGAGCAAAGATGTAGTAACTGAGAGCTCTTTGATAGGTTCCAAATCAACTCATCCTTTCTCTAAGAATAAGTCAAGCAGCCACTCTCACTACAAACCAGATTTCGTAGTTTCCACCTCTACATCTGGGCGGGGAGGAGGGACGTGGCTCTGGGGAGAGGGTTCAGGCAGCTTCCGAACAGGCCTGGACAGGCTGGCCGTGGCGAAGAAAGCTGCCTCCAGGGAGGGCACAGGTACTAACTGAGGGGGCCACCGCCAGGAAGGCAGCCCGAAGCACGGGCAGGTGACTCTTCTTGATGGCACATTAGAACGACATCAGGACAGACATTTTAAGCCACACAATAATATCATGTCTGCACAGGTAGAACACTTCACAGAAGCCTCTGCTTTGCCTACCTGTATATAGTGTTGGAAACATGCAACTTTTTTTTTTCAATCTAGAGATTAATAGAAAAAAACATGACTAGTTCAATAGCTTAGTTACATATAAGGCTCACCTAGGTTTTGGCAATTAAAGGTCACATGTGTGGGCAAAGCAGAGGTGGGCTTCTCTGGCTGAGGCACAGTTCACCTTGACATGGACAGAAACCAGTCTATTCTCTTCTCCTAAACACGTTTTGGAGATGGGCACAGGAGAAGGGGAGGAGGAAGCCTATTCTATGGAATGATAATATGGGTTGACTCCAGCTGGATAAGAATCTTTGTTCAAGTGCTCTTTATACCTGAAAACTGACTGAATCTCAATTGCTGTAACCAACAGAAGAGTCTTTCAGACTGATGTGAACATTGCCCTTTTGGCCTGAAGCTTCAGTTAAGCCACATCAGAGGACAAAACCTCTAGGTCTTTCCACTTGCCCTCCGCACTGTCTTCATTTTAGTCTGTGCATGACCGTATCTGAGGATCTCAAATACTTTTTCTCCCAATATTCATAGGTTTCAGAACGCAAACAGGAAGACTTAAAGCTTCACCCACACTATGAAAACAGATATGAGGAGAAAGGATATCTTACTTTTTATTTTGTCTCGTTCCGATTCTGATGGGAATATCCAATCTGGAAAGAGTTCTTCAAATTTGATGCCAGGATACTTGGGCCTGTTTTCTACATAATTCCTCACAGTTGGCTGAAGTTTCTTCATGAAATCCACAGACGGTGTCCCTAGCTGTTCAATAACTTTATTCCACTGATCAATATCTAAGGAGTTCTTGAGGAAAATACAACTGAAAGGCCTTCTATTGGTTACATGAAGCAGCGTCATTCAGAGAAAACCTCCAATTCTATTTCTACTCATCGACAAGTATTTAACTAGGCCACCCCACCAGGTAAGCACATTTTGAAATATTATTCAAATAAGGTTTGGGTTTGAAAGTTTAGACTATTTTGAAAAACTCCTACACCTTGCCTGTTTGTAAACTGATTACAGGTTATGAAATCAACACAATGGGGTCTATATGCCTTCCCATTCTAGATCAAAATTAAGTTATTTTGGAACTAAAGAATGCCTGTGACAGAAATGATTCAACATGAAATTTAAACTTTACTAGGCAAACTGAAATCAGTTTCACACTAAAGCTAGTCAGACTCAAAGCCCTTGGAGTACACAGCCCTGTAAGGCAGGCCTAGGGGGACTGGGGAGTGAGAGGCAGGCAGGAGATGGGGCTCCGGGCATGTGAGCCCCCCATATCCATCCCCATGGAACCACATGCTTCCTGTACTTGGGCTCTGGCTGGGCAGTGGCAGCTTTGAGAAGTCGTTCTGTTCTGCTGGGCACTGGCCCTGACCATCACTGTGATACCCAGCAGTGCATTTTGTTTCCCTGCAGAGTACGTGTCCTGGATCCCAGATGTGGGTGTGAAGCAGACACTGAGCAGGTATCAGGAAATCTCCCCTGGGTCTCAACATTCTTGTTTGTGAAATGCAGATCACACCAGCTCTGCCCGTTTCACAGGCAGCTTGATAAGAGTGGAAAGAGATTCTGAAGCCATAAACAACTACACGAGGGCATGCCTGCCAGGAGGTCTCACACAAATAGCAGCCGAACAAGGGACTGAGCGAGGTATATCCTAGGAAAGTGAAGTTGTCACTGGGAAAGAACTAGGGAACAGGTACATGTTCTCCCAAAGAAAAAGCACAACTCAGCTCTTCCACAAAATGTTGGCCTTGCGTGGACCTGCTTGGGGAGTGGGCTTTGGATTTAAATCACTAGCATATCCTTTCTTTGGTCCTCTGTTTGTGCACACTGCTCAGTCAGACTCATGCAGAGTTCAGGCCCTTCTCAGCACCAGCACGTCCCCTCCTTGGTGGCTGCCTCTGTGGCCTCCCACTGAGCAACCACAGTGGCCCTTGGCCTCCTGGCCTGTGCCTTTGCCCTCGACTGTCTGCCCTTGGCTCAGAGCCAGAGAGGCCCTTTCCCAATATTAAACAGGAGCCTAGAAAAGGCTGGCTGCTCAATGAATGTCTACTGCATTCATGGCAAGGTGTCATTTTTACTGACTAAAGGTCTGTGGGAAAGCAAGACACATCCCCACAAGCACTACTGCCCTGAGCTGCCACAGGTCGCTCACTGTACCAATGGGGACAAAGGCCCAGAGAGGCCCGGCCCTTGGGGTGCAGAGCCACCGCTTGGGGGTCAGAAGCTGGGCCCCAGTAGCCTGGCTAAAACTTCTTTTCCCTGCAGGCCACGTGAGGACAGGAGTCCCTTTTTACCCCAGGTCACGAATCTAAAGCAACTCTGAGAACTGCAGTCTGTTTTCCAGGATCTTTTCCTATCCTAGTAATTTTTAATCTAATGTTTGAAAAGGTTTGGCAAAACTGTCTTTAGAAAATAATGTTAATCTTTGTGTTTTGAAAACGACATTAGGTGAACTTATATATAAAGTTATTCATTACTGACAGTGCAAGATGTTAATAGAAATATTAAATTAATGCACCAAAAAGTACCCACATTTTTCATTTTTAAACTTTCTGAAGAAAATATTTCTTAATAAAAAAAGGAAAGGTAGAAAATGAATAAGAACTGAAAGAGCCGAATGTTAAGTAGATTTTTCTGTATTATTTATCTTTAGAATATATCAACTTTTCCCTCTTCAATTGTGCTTTTTTGCAAATTAAATAATTTACAGTTTAAAACGAGTGAATCTAAGGTAAGGCTACAGAAAATTGTTAGAAAATTTATTGGAACAAAATAGAATGCTGTATATAACTTCACATAAAATATGTTATATGAAAAATGTCAAGGAAGGTAAACACAATGATAGGAATAAAATCTTTTCATTCCAAGTTTGTGTGCGAAGAATTTATATTACAAGAAAAGCACCCTCATAAAATTATAAAAAACTAAAATTACTTTGATAAAATACAAACAAAACATTGAGTTCACAACTTGATTTCCTTTAAAAATTACCATCCATCTGCCAATGGGAAGAGATCACTTTAAGCTTTCGTAACATAAAACAAAATCAAAGACTAATTAAAATATTAGTGGTTAGAACATAAATGAAAAAGGGTATATATGAAGAACCAAGTTAGCATAACAAATACTAAAGATGGAAGAATATGAGGAATATGAGGAAAGAAAGCTATTACGAATATATTACCTATTTCCCTTCATGCTCTATGTCATTAACATGATTTGCTGACCAGTGTCAGTTAATCTTTTGCATTTTATATTTATTTAAACTTCCCCAGTGTGTCACAAAATAACCTTCTAGATGGATCTTTTAAAAATTTCTATGACATGTCAGCAGAGTAACAGGAAAATATAATGTGAATTGTTCCTCATATACTTTTCATTTTAATCCTTTTCACTTAGGGCTTATGATTTGTGCTTCAGTTCTTGCTTTGGGGGAAATATTTTAATGCATACCAATAACTAACAAAACTGCATATTAATTAAATTACAGACAGCAACTTTCCTAGCTAAATTAATTGAATGAACTAAATTAACAGTATTTTCACTTAATTATCAGAACACATTTGTCAAGGAATAAATCAATTTATTTTAAGCCATTTTTGGTGAGATGAAGAACTAATGTAATTGGTTTAACTGTAAGCCTCAGTAAAATCATTACAGGTAGTCAAGTGAAGAAGAACACGTAAAATCGTAAAATCGAACCATTTGGCTTGTGACACTGTGATGAGCGTCATAACAACCCTCTCAGGACACAGTCTAGTCGCGCCATCTTCCTTTTGAGTTCCTGCTACCATTTGGTATTTATGGAAAGCATGGCCGGGAAGGTCCCGGGAAGGATACGATCAGTGCCTTGGAATATCACACAACCTTTCACCAGCTCTCCCATGATGCAACCCACTGACCAGATATCAACTGAAAATAAAATGAAATGATAAAATTATGAAGTGCCATGAACAAAACAAAGGTGAGGAAAAGGAATTCTAACAGTGTTCTAAACACACAGATATGGAAAAATAAATTGCTAGCTAAGGCATGGTGAGAATGACTGTAGGTCTCATTTTGGCCTTTGGTTTGCAGCAATCTGGGCTTCTGGTGCCAAAGATCCCGATACTTTACAGCATTAAAAAACAAACCCCAGAAATGAGAAGGCTGTGCCCAGGCTGCACCCCTGCTGACCCTCCACCCCTAGGACATGCGGGGTCTCCCCCGGAGAAGGATACAGTCTCTTCCTGGGAACAGGACTTTGTGGAGGACCATTTCTGCCATGATGCACCCGACAGACCAGATGTCCACTACCAAACACCAGGTGATTAAAGCCAGCCGGAGGCCCCCACGACTTTCCTCAACCCCCTCCCGCACAAAGACAGACCCACCCCGCTTGCCAATGGGAGCCTCTGCAAATATGGACACCACACCTCCTGAGCGGTCCTCTCCTAAACTGCGGCCTCAGCAGGGCCTCACTGGGTCGGGCCTGCTCATCTAGGCTCTGGGTGAGGCCCGACCAGAGGGGGCCCTGACTTCCGGCCACTCACCTCACAGAAGGCCGGGCAGAGGGCTACTTAGTGCCCTTGCTGGTGAGGGTGGAGAAGGAGCTAACAGGGAACACAGGGGGCCCACAGAGCTGTGTCCCTCCTAGTGGGAGCACAGGTCATAAGGTGTCCAGATGAGCTTGGAGCACAGCTCACTCCAGACCACCTGAGCAAACTTTCTTGCCTCTTTTTTTTTAAACAAGTAAATGTGATTTGTTCTTTTTGACGAAATTTGTCAAAAGCTGACTTTTAAAGAGCTCTGATGTTGCTAGAATAAGTTATGTTTTGATGTTAAAAAACACCAATTTTACACAAAAGAGAACATGTTGCATTATTCCATTTATATGAAGTTCAAAAATAAGTAAAAGCAATCTGTGGTGTAGGGGCTGAGACCTGAATGGAGGGCGGGGCCTGGGTGCTGGTATGCAGGCGGCTCCCACTGAGTTGCACACTGGAATGTGCAGGCTTTTCTGTAGGTATGTTAGACTTTGATAAATGCTCAAAAACATCAATTTCAAAGAGAATGCTTTAAACCAATGGAAATGTGAAATTAATGATTTCTTATCTGTGGACCAGGATGATACATATAGCATGCAGTGCCCACATTCTACTTCATACAGTTCATGGGAAAAACTAGTGACGACCAACAGTGCTGTTTTTCAACACCTTAGCCTCTTCGGGCTCCCTCTGGACTCACCGTTCTCTTTGTAGCCCATGCCCAGGATGACTTCAGGTGCCCGATAATAGCGCGTTACCACATAGGGGGTCATCATGAAGTTGGTGCACGCTGTCCGGGCCAGGCCGAAGTCAAGGATCTTAAGTGTGCAGTCTGATTTTACTACGATGTTGCTAGGCTTCAAATCCTAGGACAGAAATAGTTTAAATGAGTGAAATGAGCTAAAGCATACTAACGCAGTGACCTCAGATTGGCAGGGATTTAGGATAGTCAGTCCATGATTAGAGAAGGATGTGACAGTGCTGGGGGAGAAGGAACCCTGGGATTTTGGAGCAATTCTGGGAACTCCTACTCTCAAACTGAAATGAACACAAATCAGCCTAAAGAGGTCACATAGTTGCCTTTGCCCCTGGGATGGAACTCTTCACCACATTCCTTGGCTTAAGACCTTCTGTGAGCTTCCATGAGCAATCCACCCCTCCCCCACCATGCCTGGTCATCCCTCAGGTTCGAACAGAAACATAATTCCAGCCACTTATGTAATTTACATTTTTAAATAGCCACCTTAAAAAGACTGACCAGAAACAGGTCAAATGAATGTTAATAGTATATTTTATTTAATCCATATATCTACAGTATTATCATTTTAGAATGTAACCAACACATAAACATTATTAATGAGATATATTACATCCCTTTTTTTAGTCCTGTCTTTGAAATCCATTGTGTGCTTACAATTATAGCCACATTCAGAGTATTCAATAGCCTTAAAGTGGCTCGTGGCTACCACACGTACAAGCCCAGGGCAATTCTCTGACCCCACAGGCTCCCCGTGGCTTTTCCTCCCCAGGGAAGAATTCCTTGCCCAAGGACGCAGCACTGCCCCTGAAGCTCCCTCCTCTCGGGCTCCTGTGCGCTCTGTGAGAGGGGCCCTGCTGTGCCCAGACTCCAGCCGAAGCAGCACACACTAGCAAAGGTCTGCCAACACACACCACCCACCTCCCGCCACCACATTCTCCACGCCTCAACACCCCTCCTGCAGGCTTTTCCCTTTTAACTTTAGGGCCCTTCTCCATGGTGAGCCCCACACCCCAAGCCCCTACTCAGGCCACAGGAATCTTGCCTGGGACTCCAGCCTGCAAACCGTCTCGTACAGCGTGACTTCTAAACAATCCACATCTATTATTTTCACAAGTTTCCAGTGCGTAGCTACAGCGTCAAACTGCCAAGTGGCACCACACAGTAGGACCTGGGAGCACATTTTTGGATTACAAATTGCTAATAGATAAAATGCTCAGCTTCATGAAAACAAAACAAACCTCCAAACGATGAGGAACCCATTTTAGGCTGTCCTGTGGCAATGAAAAGAGCGGCACCTGGTGCTGCCAGCAGAAGCCCACACAGCCCCTTCCTCACCCTGCGGTGCGGACACCAGGAGGCACTTATCTTTACAAGAGGCTGATTTTTAAACAATTTGCAATGCCTGTACTTTATCCGCTGCAGCCCAGGATCCAGCCCTGCCTTGACCTACAGCCTCGTGAACCCGGGGAGAGCTGTAGTACTCCACGCCACCTCCACGGTCCCACCACTAATCAGAAAACACTCGCCCCGGGTTCCACCACTAATCAGAAAACACTTGCCTCAGGCAGCACCCACCTTCAACCCTACCCATTTTGACCACGCCCACCACCTCCCCTGCCTACCACACCCACTCCAACCCTGCCCACCTATGACCACGCCCACCACCGGCCCTGCCCACTTCCGGCAACGCCCATCTCACGCACCCTCACCTGTGGGAACTAACTGTTTTGTAGGAACAGCATGCGTTACGGCCATCTGCTGGATTAGTATGATGACAAAATGCAAATACGGTTGTCTCCCGTGGCCAGCCGCCCGGACAGGGAGGGGCGACCCCTACTGGTCGCCAATGGGAGGTGCTTAGCAAAGCCCCGTGGCTCCTAAGGGCTCCCCACGCCCCGGCCATCTCCCACTAGCCTCCACACTCCACACACACCAGAGGCAGCTTTCCAAACCAACTGGGCTTGCGGTTTCACAGTGCTAAAGACAATTCTGCCCTTACAAATCTTGAAAACCGTCCCAAACAAGGAACATAAGAAACGATAAAGTACAGATGACACCTAAACCTGGGGACATGACCCACGCAGGGTGGGGATGACTAATGGAGGGTGGCATCCAGCAGCCAACAAGAGTGTGCAAAACATGTTACCAAAGACCGGTCGGAGCAGGGGCACAGGAGGCGGGGCGTGCAGTGTAAACCGCCCCATTCCCTTGAGCTCTCAGATCACACAGTGGGAGGCATCTGGTCTTGGGAAGGAGGACCCTACAACAGCGTGTTAAGTGCCCACTGCCTTCATTTCCCGTCTTCCCCACAGGCACCCGCAGCCACTTAGGTGGCCGACGGAACCCTGGGACAGGAGACTACGCAGACACCTGGAGCACGAATGGACATGAATTCTAAGTGGGCCCTGAAACCCCAAGACCCAAAACATCGTCATCACCTGCCCCCGCTTCCGGGGGCTGCGGGGCGCCAGGTAATCAGTGGGGACCAGGCCAGATCATTTCCAACGGTGTTATGACAGAGGCCTGGGCAAACTGAAAGAGCATGCTGTCAATCCCACAGAAACGTGAACGGCTCTGATCTGCTTTGCTAGTCAGTATGGAAGGACACACTGCCCATCCGTGGCCACATGCTGTCCCTGCGGCCTTATGAACCTGCCCTAGCAATGCCCGTGTCCCGCACAGCAGCCGCAATCAGGGCGAGCTGGGTCAGCCTCGGCAGCCCATGTTCTCGGATCCATTCAGCTTCGTCACGGGCTGGACTAGTGAACTAAACTTGGATACGAGAGGGACCCCTGCTCCCTGCATCCTTTCAGTTTCAATGCTGGCATTAACCTCCAACCTCTCCACACTCCAAGTTCAATGTTTTTATTTATTCTCTTGAGGGGGGCAGTTTCAGGTCTCCACTTGGCCTTTCCCAACACTTGCTTCACAGGCCAAGGAATCAAGGTAGGGATCACCCACCTGCTGAGTGTGAGTTCCAGTCATACACTCAGGGGCTGGGGAGATGACTGCCAGTGGGTCTGCAGACCTGGCACCCATTGAGAGCCACCAGACCCACAGCCCTCAGGAAGGAGTCTGGGTCACGTCAGGTAAGCCACGGAGACCTGCCAAGGTGATGGCTGAGGGCACGCAGAGGGGGAGAGAAGGGGCATCTGCTGTAGCCGCAAGGTCAGCTGCAGTGATGGGGCGGTCATTCACCCCACCCACCTCCCTCTTCTCAATTTCCTTTGGGAAGAGAGACCATGGGGAGCAGGGGAGCTGCTTCTGACCCGTGCATCTCAGGCAGTGACCACACAGGGCCCCAGGCCTTCTCCTGTGAGACACCAGCTTCCTCTTGTGGGCGGTATGAGGGCCCTGGGCCAGCAAAGCTTTCAGAGAGCTGCACTGTAGCCGCTCCCACGCGTCTGAACTGTGCTGCCCTCCGCCAGCCCCCCCATCTCCTCCGACCTGCTCCCCCTGTGCTTCCTCTCAGGCCTTCTCCCTGGACATCTCTTGCACATCTAATCCCATCATGGCATGCTTATGCCTTCGATGAAAAATCCCATGCACTCTATGGGGTGAGAGCAGCAGAGAAGCAGGAAGGGACCTGGCTGAGTGCAGGAAATTCTAACCTCAGTGAGCGGCCCACACAGAGATAGTGTGGACCACAGCACTAGGAAAAGGCTTGGGAAGTGGTTGGCAGGTACTGTGGAAGTGGGGTTAGTAATGGGACACTAAGGGGGTATTTCAGAAGGTCCAGGAAAGATAAAGGTAGACCTCCCAGAACTACAGCTCCATCCCAGAAGAGAGGCTTGGGCCCCTTCTTCACTCCTACTGGCCCATTATTTAGAAGAGCTGAAACCAAGATTCTAGATTTGGGCCCAATACTGACAGATATGTTGGGATGAGGCACATGGAGGGTGTGGGTGAGGGGCCAGCTAAAGGCCAGTGGGTCTGCATTCTGCCTCTTGAGAACCGCAGCCCCACTCCATACAGCCTCTAACACAGCAGCCAGGCTTCTATTCCACAGTCAAGAGGCCGGAAGAACCTTTGCTAGAGAAACTAAATGATTCTCAGAGAAAAGACCTGCAAGCAGAGCCCCCTGTGGCTTTCTGTTGCCCAGAGAAGAAGCTGTCATTCGACAATCCCAACCCATGCACTTCTCCCACTTGGTCTTTGAGTATTTCCATCTTAAATAGCATCAGATGACACAGGATCACCAGACGTTTGGGGAAAGCCTCACACATGAAGGGGACAGATCAAAGCACACTAAAAAAGGAACTCAGGGGAGATAAAAACCATGCAGGCAGCAGTAAAAAACTTCAAAAAATCTTACCCTTGGAGAGATGATAGGGTATCCATGCAATAAGAACAAAATGCTATAAAAAGGACATTTTAAAGGTAAAGAGTTCCAGCTAACTGGTGCTTCAAAGAAAGAGAAAATAATGAACACAGTGAAGAAGGTATTCTGAAAGAAAGAATACAAATTTTCCAGAATTCCTTCCAGGCTGAAAGGCCCCAGTGCCCACCACAATTTAATGAAAAAAATGTCCACATCAAGGCATATCATCATAAATCTCAGAACACATGAAATAAACATTTTAAAGAAGTTTCTGGAAATTTACAACCCAAATCAGGGCACCAGCAAAGGCTCAGTAATAAGAATGGCATCAGAAAGCTCAAACAGGTTCTGATGTTTCACTTACAACGTGGGGGCGACTGGTTTGCAACTCAGCATTCTATACCCAACCAAACCTTCAATCATACGACAGGAAAGAACAGTTTCAGACATCTGAGCCCTCAGAGAATTTACCTCCCCTGTCTGGGACAGCTATGGAGGATATGTTCCACCAAAACAAAGGTGTAAACTGTATGTAATGGCAGAGGGGAAGGAGGCGGGAATCTACCACAAGGGAGAGGGAAGGAAATCCCCAGGAAAATGCTGGGGTGCAGTCCAGAATAACCCCACCAGTGCAGACAGGAGCAGTGCTGAGGTCCCAAGGGAAGGAGAGTTCTTGGAGTGACAGGCCTGGTGAAACTGCTAAGACATCTGGATGCACTGAGACTAGACCTAGACACCTGGCAGGAAGCTTTGACTTAAGTTAGCAGCAAGAATACAGAAAGTGACTCCCTCTTTGAAAGGCAAAACAACAAAGGCCAAAACTGAAACCAATAAAAGCCAAGTGTTAACTGCAGGGGTAAAAAGTTCAAAGGAAAAGAAATACAGTCATGGTGTAAATATAAGGCTCGGCTGTGAAAAGCATTTACATGATCATGATGATGTTAAAATACAGCATCAATCGGATCCAAACTTAGTTACACTGTGATACTGGATGGAGGACGGGATCAGGAGAAGTGATGGGGAGGGTCTGGGGTGGTGAAATAGAGCTCAGTCTGTACCTTATGCCCCAAACTGAAAAAAATCAGCTAACAGAGAGCTAATTATATTTCACTATATGGAGATAAACACCAAAGTATCAGCTAAAATAACCCAAAGAATTCGCTTCTGGGAGAGAAAAAGGGAGGAGGTAGAGATTCTGAGTTTTAAAATAAATGTTTGATCCTTTATTAAATAAAAAACACATCAACCAACTTGTTCAACGAGTGCAGAGCAGTTATGTCCAAGATGCTCCTGGTTTTGAAATGCACAAGTTAAAATGGACATGAGAATAGACATGTCCTGGTATTAGCGCAAGAGTCGTCAGCTTACAGTCAGGAGGGAAACATCCAGCTGCCTGTCACTGCCCCTCCAGGGACACTGCAGGGCTGGGGCCTTTCACTTCTTTTAATTTTTTGAATTATGTAAGGTAGAAAGGAGTGGTATTGTGGGTGTTTTATTTTCCGAATTAAAACTCATGTTTAGTATGAAACCGCTTACAATATGTAAAACTGGAAGTGTGTATCCATGTGTAGTAGTGTACACAGCAAAACAGACCAGAAAGGGCCCCAGAAAACCATTAACCCACTAAGGGGAGAGCTAGCTCATCACCTCCTGGGCCCTGGCCTCTCACTATGTGCTTTTGCCACTCGTCTTGCAATGAGCACGTGGTACTTCCATGAGCGAGAGCCCAGGAGTATGTGAACCGGAGGGAACAAGGCAAGGGGAGGGGATGGTGAGGCCCATGGGGTGGCAAACGGAATGGTAAAGTGGTCCACAGGGTCATGTGCTCAGGTCTTCCCAGGCTCCTAAACAAAGGAAACACTTCTCCGGCCTCTATCAGACAGCAGGCCTGGCCCAAGCCACAGGGACCACAGCGGCCCAGATGCCTGCACATGCGCACTGCAGCTCTTACAGGTCCGAGACCGGGAGGCGGTGCTGCTCTCCCAGGTATCTCTGGGCCCAAGGCCAACCGTGACCCTTTACAAAAATACTAAGGCTTAACATAACAAGGTCCAATAGTCTGAGAACTTATTCTAAAGCATAAATTTAGTAAAAAATATACTTAAGGCATATTAAGAGAGCCTTAATTTATATAACAGACTGAAAATTTTAGGAAGAGAAATAGAATGGCAGGTTGGGAAATCTATTTTTAATTAAACAAATCAAATATGCCTATTTTAAAGCAAATTCATCAAGAGAATCTATATTATTTTAACCGAACACTTGGTGGCAGCAAAGACTGAGTTTTAAGTAATGGCACACTGATCAGGAGCCTGGCGTTTATCAGGGTGCCAGGCCCCCACCAGGCCCCAGGAGACCTGAGGCCCAGGTGCGGTGGACAGGTAAGGGCTCAGCCCCCTCTGGGTGGATGGGCCTCCATTTGGTGGCTACTGTGGAACCAGCCTCTCTTGGCACCTACCAGATGCACCACATCTGTAAAAACTTGTTTTTTTCTATGTGAAGAGGCTTCACTGACCTTGTCTTCCTGTCTTCCACCCCACACAGATTTTAGTTCAGAGAAATTGCGACTTCTGACGTCGGACCTTAATGTCTAAAGATAGTTTGTCAACAGAACCAGCATGGTAGAAATTTAGGGAATGCTAAGGATGTTTCCAATAAAATTTTACCATCTCTGCCTGGAGTCTCACTCAACATTTTAGTTCTTAAGATTCTGTCATTATGCTCCGCTTACAATGGTACAGTTAAAAAATACCAAAAACTAACCAGCTTAGAGAAGCACATTACCTCCCTGGTTTTGAAATGTTATTTCCTGACAGTAGACGCAGCACTTGTCCTTCAAATCCCAACCTTGGCCCAGGCAAAACGGCCACCCCGAGCCGTTCCAGAAGCCCCCACCACGGGGCCCGGGGTGCTGGAGTGGGAGAGCTGTACGACACACAGACGGATGTCTGGGCTACAGCCTGTAAAAGAGGTCTCAAGCAGCTGTATTTTTACTACATGGCCACTAACTTGCCCCCATCCCAAATCTAAACTCCTTGCTCATTAAAAATGGGACTTCACATATGTCAAGATCATTAACAATAGGTGGGCCTGGGTAACTAGTGTTTGGGAGTCCTTTGTCCTTGCAGTTTTTCTCTAAGTTTTAAGTTACTTCAAAATGTAAAAAAGAATTTTTTTTTTAAAGAAGTATTCTTCTGCAGTATCACACTGAGCGGCTGGCTCATGCCTGCATCCCATGTGCCCAGGGAACCAGGCGCTCCACAGATGTCTTCTAATCTCAGTGATACCTGGAAACTCAACAGGATCCCATAGTTTATTTTCAACACTGAAAATTCCACACTGAAAAACATGAATTCTTTTGTAACTGAAGGCTTCTGACAATGAAATGATTGTGATTTTAAAAATAAAATGAACATGGCATTAATACTTACTCTGTGAATTATACCAGCTGAATGCAGATGTTTAATACCACAGAGCATCTGGTAAAGAAGGTAGGACATTCTTTCATGGTCCAACTCCATGTGAATAACCTGACATAAGTTAGCATCCATTAATTCCATAACCAAATACCTGAGGAAAAAAAAGATCAGCTATGTATACATGAATATTATCTGAAATTCCTTTATGGTTATTAAACCAGAGTTTTTATGAAAGCGGAAGAACTGGCCAAAGTAAGAGGAAAGCTTGTTTTCTCTAAACATGTCTAAGGTGTCCTGAAATGCAGCAAATGTATAATGAACTTTGTCAAAGTTGAAAACAGTACGAACACCTGACAACACAGTGCCTTTGAAGTTAAAAACGAAACAATTTTCTACTATATAAACAATCTCAAGCATTCATATTCTCCTACATCTTAAATTTTTGGCTACTGGGTCAGTCTAGCGATATAAAAGCCATGCCATTATTTCTCTCATCTTAAAAAACTTTTAACCTCACTTCCCCACCAGCTACTGCCCATTATTTTTGTCCCTTTGCAAGCACCCCAGAGAGGTGTCTCTATTTGCCATCCCCATTTCTGTTTTTTCCCAGTCCTACTTTGATCAGGCTTTGGCCCCACCACTCTGCTGAAATTGCCCTCTGCAGGCCCCTGTGACTCTCACGTTGCTAAATTCCATGGCCCGTGCTTCAGAGCTGGCTGACCCTGCCTTTATCCTCCTCCCAGCTTCTCCCAGTAGGGGGCCATTGCTGGTCCGTGGCCTTCTCCTCGTTTCCCTAGTCTCAGTGATGGGCTCTGGTCCCTGGTTTCAAGGCTTCAAATACCATCTATAGATCCTCAACTCCCAAATTCACACCTCTGACCCAGACCTCTCTCCTGATCACCAGGCTGTCTAGCCACCCCCCTTCACAGACCCTCTGGGTGTCCTAGACTCTACCCTCCCCAACCCGCTCTGCCTGGAGGCTTCCCCTCCTCAGCGGAGAGCACTTCCCTCCTGCAGGCGCTCAGGCCCAAATCACTGGTCTCTCAACTCTTCTCTAGCACCACACTCCTCTCTAGGGGCTCTACCTTCAGGACAGCCTCAGAGCCAGTCTCTCCCCTCCCCCTCACTGCTATCCCTCTGGTCTCAGTGGGGCTGCCACAGTCTCTCACCTGAATCACCACAGGAGCCTCCTAACTGGTCTCCTCTGTTCCCATACCTTATAGTGCAGTTCCCAAGCCAGAAACCAAAGTTGTTCCTTTTTAATGTAGGTTAGGTAAGCTGAGTACTCTGCCGAAAGTCTTACTGACTTGCCTTTGAGTAAATGGAAGTCCTTCCAATGGCCTAGAGGCCCAGGGCACCCTCTCTGCTCCCGTCCTCTAGCCATGCTGACCCCTTTCTGTTCTTAGAACACACCGGGCATGCTCCCGCTCCTTTGCACAGCCTGTTCCTTCTATCTTGATTCCATCTCCCCAGATATCTGTAGGACAAACCCCATCACCTCCTCCAAGGTTTCCTTCCGATGGACCAATCCAGTGAGGTGTTTCCCCAACGACTCTACAAAAAACCACCAACTGCCATGTAGCCCCCAGCACTCCTTAGCCAGCTCAGGGCTCTACCTCCATACCTGCCCAGTGTCACTTCTTCTTCTGATGCTGGATGCCCCTGTTCCCTGCCTTGCCTGCCAGCCAGCTCTAGCTGGGAGTATGGCTACCCACTGTGCTCAGTAACAAGAGGGGCTGTTGCCTGTTTTGGGGACTAGAGGATGTCAAGTACAGGACAGCATCCAGCACATGTTGGTCACCAAACATTTGTTGAATGAATGATGACAGCAGGAAAGTTAGGATGAAGTTGGGCATTATATTTCAATATGATAAATGCATATTTTATTTCATTGTTAATAAGTAAGATAATTCTATTTCAGATTTGGGAAACACACAATATTTAATGACTTAACCATTTCAAATAATAACGGTGAACACCTGAACCCTACAATCCTAGCTTCAGGGGACTGGAGAAAAACATTTTATATTTCAGTAAAGCAATTCAGTGCCATTAGTGGTCACTATCTGCTTTGAAGAAGTTACTTTCAGTCATCTTCAATCTGTTATGGAGACAATACCCATGTAGGCACAAACAGTTGGCTATTATTATCCATCTTCCTCAGTATTTCTCTTCCATGAAGAAAAGTGGCCAAGATAGCTCTAAAAATGTACTGCTGCCCACACTGCCTAAGCAAAAAGAGCGGCTACTTTCCTCTGTAAGTTTTCAGTCTTTGATGCATAGTGTGTTACTGATAAAAATGGTACTTACACATCTTGAAATTCTTCTAGAGTTTTCTGTGGTGTAAACACATTTAACAAACTAATTATCTGAAAAGAGAAAATCAATTATACCTCAGAACATCAGATAACATGATTATAAAAATTAAGTTTAACATCAGAATGTGTTAAAACTGGAAAAAAATTGCAGTGTAGCTAGGTATTTATTATTCATGTTTTTGCTTTTACCAAAACATTCTATTACATAGAGTTTGAAAAAATTAAATGATTAGGATTTCCCTTTGGAAGTAAGATGCACTTTTAATCAAATCACTTTCAAGTGTGCCTAGTACCTCGTTTTTACAGAATTGTAACACATAACATCTTTCTGGCTCTGAATATAAAAAAGCAGAAATACATAAAAATAAATGGCTAACAGATATAGATAGAAGAAGTTCAGCCTCACAAAGGAAAAGAAGGTGCCATTTGTCATCTATCAGATGGGCAAAGTAAAACAAAAAATAAACAATATACGGTGCTGGGGGATTTTGAAATAAAAGACATTCTCAGATACTCTTAATGAGATTGTAAAATGACTGTCTTCCTTGAGGTCAATTTGTTGGCATGTATTAAAACCAGAAGCGTACACAGTCTGACTCAGCAATCTTGGCCAAGAAATTCACCCAGACAGGTGTGCAAAGGTACATGTATAAGGATGGTCACTGCAGCACTGTTTACAATAGCACAAAACTGCGAGCAATCTAAATACCCAGTATAGGGACTGGTTAAGTAAATTACTGTGAATCTGAACTATGCAGCTGTTTTAAAAATGGTTTATATATATGTCTGTTAATATATATGAGACTGAGTAACATTCCATGTGGGACAAAAGCAGGATGCTGATAACATAGCTCATCTTGTTTATGTACGCAGTGTGTGCACATATGCATAGAATGCTCACCAAAATGTTAGTGATAGTGACCTGTAGGTGGTGGAATTCAAGGATTTTTGCTTTCTTTTTTAGACTTTGAATTTTAAAAAGTAGTAACCATGTATTTTTTGTATCCTGAAAAAATTTTTTTTAAGTAAAATAAAGCATGCATTGGTGAAATTAAATACAAGTACAGACCATAGACTCAAATGAATGAACTTCTCTTAGTTTCCTATTTAATGTCCCTACACTGGAAAGAGTCAGCACAAATGTTAAAACAAAGGGAATCATAGAGAATTGAATGTAATCTTAAATATTCGTCTCCCTGCAACAAAAAAGAGGTCACACGGGGTATCTCCAGAGCCCCTACCAGACTTAACATTTTATGATTTTATAACCTGGCAAGGTTATCAAAATTGTGCTCAAAATATGCATAGAGATCAGCAGTAAGATATACAATGGGCCCGAGTACCTCATTTTCTACAGATGTACTGTTTGTTTTCCCTTAAAATTTACAGTGCTTTAACTTCCTTGGAGATGTTCCTTGGAGATGCCAGGGGCAGCTATCTTGAATATATCATGACCTAATAACATTTATTTAAAACTGAAATGTTCACTTTACAAGGTAAAAGGCTACTATGGAACAATGTTTTGTTAGGTTGATACTGTTGCCATTTTAAACAGAAACAGTGAAAATCAATGACAACAGGTTAACTGATGTCACTGTAGCTGTTAAGTGGCCCGAATTCCTATGGACTATGATGACTCTTGCTGATTTCAGTTTCCCCAGTGTTGACTAAGAATTTTATCAACAAAATATAACCATGTGTATAGTTATTTTCATCACTAGTTTAACCCTAAGTCTAAACGCAGTATATCTCCAAAGACCTAGAAGATTATCACACTATTCACAACATTATACAGAGGAAACACAGAACTCACATTTTTATGATTGACACATTTTAAGAGGACGAGTTCACGATAAGCTCTCTTTGCATGAGTTTGATTCTGAAAAGGACGGCTTAGTTTCTTGACTGCAACATTTATTCCAAGAACTGTATCAAAAGCAGCACTATAATTAGGAAAGGTAATAAGCAATCCATTAGAATGGTTTTGGAAAATACAGCAATGCAGAATATACATTCAGTGCTTTATCTTTTAAAATGAGTAACAAGTAAGGAAAAATCTTTCTGCTTCTTTCCACCAAGGTACTTCTACACATGAAGGGCAAGGCAAGTTGGCTAGGCGAGCAGGATGGACTGGTTCTTTTGTGGAGGCACCGACATGGCTGTAGTCAGGACAGCATTCAGCAATCCTTCACATGCTGCTCATTACATTAGTTGAGATTATTGTGTTCAGAACCAAGTAATTTAATACAGAGCATGTGAGGCCAGCCAAGAAGTGAAATTTTCAGTTTAAATGTGCCAGTAAGTTGGAAAAAGTCACCGGTTATCACATAATAAAACATATTTTGGGGTATCACAGTGGAGGAAATTACCGGACTCCTGAGAATAATGAAAGAAATTTAGGTTTTGATGGATTGTGTTTTTTCCAGATGAAAGAATCTAAAAAGAAAACAGAAGCCAAAATCTCAGCTTATGGTAAATCCCCAAGATACAAAATCCCTAACAGAAGCAATTGCTATTATGAAATTCTACTAGAAACACATTCTGATGCTGTGAGAGTAAGAATAAAATCTCACAGAGGTTGTGTTTCCAGCTTCTCCAGTTCTCAGTTGAAATTTATGGTTCACTTTCCTCCAGAAAACAAGAAAAATCGAGCAGCCCGAGTGCACATTTTCTACTAGTTTCAAAGTGGTACTACTAGGACCGTTGGTGGTGGTGTGTCTTCTGGCTACTGATCTGGGGCTAAAAGCTGCTAAGGACAACCTGAGAACTGAAGCACCATTTAACGGACTGTTTTTACTTACTTACCCTATTCAGTTTGTAACACTGTTTACATCTACACACTTCTATTGATTATCTTTTTTGCCAAAGGACACTAACTTAATCCAACCTGCTTGTAAATTAAAGGCTGTTGCTGTAGCACTTGGTTAAGAATTATTAGAAATTAGTATGTTACTTTCGAATTATTTTTTGTTTAGTTTACATTATGTGGACATGTGTACACATATGTAAATGTACATGTCCACATGCAAATGTACCATTCATATGAATTATACAATGTTAATGATAAATCTACTTGTGAAACAAATCATTGACGTAGTTGTATGCAATGTGTATTTGCACCAAATGCACATTTCTCAATCTCAAGAATTTGCAAACAGACACACCTTGTTTGGTCTCAAAAGTTTTTTGTCCAAAATAAGCCAAATGGACCAATTCTGAGCATCTGAGCGGATGCATGCTCCCCTGTTCCTAGTTCCAACTCTGGGAGCAACTACCTTCGATTGTTCTTGGTTTGACATCTTGTGGTCACTTCTTAACTCCAAAGAATATATTTGATCACTATTTCATCATTTATCAACTTTACTCCCCATTATGAAAACTGAGGATTTAGTCACATACTTGAAACCCCAACTCTTCCAAGTTCTTTGTTCTCACGTTATTTTTAACTTTTGCCCTGGCTACCCTTTTAACTTTAAATACCATGCCTAAACTTCTGGTTGCATCAACCTTGCAAGGAACCTCTTGACCCCTGGGGAATGACAGATCAGACGATTATATGCCGTCTCCTTTTCCTCCAGCTCTCTGCTTTATTCCCTTTCCCTCCAAACTTGTCTTAAATAGTCAAGCCTGATAACACATCTGTTCTACCTATTTCTTCTTTAGAATGTATATAAATGTTGAAAATCAAGGCACAGAGTTGTACGTATGTGTGCACACATGTAAATATTACTAATTGCAGAGCTGGGGTTACTTTTCATTTTCTAAAGATCCCATGACCCTTGCTGTCACTCTTAAGAGAATGAGATCGTTTCCAGCATCAAGGTCAAATGCATTCTGTCTTCTTATAGTCCATCAATTGCTCAAACATCATGTCCTTTTAACTTTGTTTTATACTTAGGCCATGAACTTTTCTAGCTTTTCCACCACAAATTTTTTAAGAAACTTTTTTCCTTTTTAAGAGAAGAAAGCTATCACCAGTACTTCCTGCCATGTCAGTTAACTCACATTAACTATTGTTTGGAATCTATCCCATTCTTGAGACATTTCTCCAAGTTTCCTTCCAGGCCCTCCACACAGCAACTGCCCCGGGCTCTTGGCCTCCACTGCTTCCTGCCCTGCCTGTCCTGGTATTCTTTCTTGTTAGAGTGCAGCCTTAAGGAATTTCCCCAGAAGAAGTGTGTTAGATAAGCAATCTTCCTCTACCCTCCTTGAGGCAGTTTGTCTCCTAAGTTCAGAATCAGTTTTCTCTCACGACTTCACTGGTTTCAGCATTGAGTGTTGTGGAGGCTGATGCTTGCCTGACTTTCATGACTTTGCTTCTGTTTTTGCTCCTCATCTCAATGATTGACCACAAAGAGCTGCGCTCGGTCAGCATCCCCAAAGGCCCCCCGACTTCCTACTCATCACTATCCTTTCTGTCTCCCAAAGATGAAAACTTTTATGATCACTCCCTTGCTTTTGTCAGCTAAACATGCATTTTCAAGCCTCCCCACTTGCCATTATCAGTTTTTGTCTCATTTTTGAAATTGCCTCTGACGTCTTGCACTCAATATTGTTGGTGAGATTCATGTTGTCGGGTGTAGCTGTGATTCACCCTGCACCACCGCTGTAATATTCCTTCATATGGCTATACGATGTAGGGTCGATGGATTCAGTTTGCACGTGATGACAAATAACATGGTCATGCATGTTCTCATACATGGCTCTGGGGCCCCTGTGCATGCATTTCTGACGAGCAGGTAGCTAAAGGTGGGATTGCATTTATTTTATTTTAGCAGATGATGCCAAATTGTTTCTGAAGTGGTTCATTCTACCAATTTTTAAGCATTTGATTTTTTTGTATATTGACCCTGTGTCCTGCACTGGTGCAAAACATACTCATTAACAAAAGAAAGATGGGGGTAATGTAATCATGAGAGCCCTTCAGAAGCAGGGTTTATTCTGCTGGTGGGAAGGGGGATAAATGAGAGAGATGTGAAACCTGAAAAGGACTAGCCATGCCATCGCTGCCTTTAAGATGGAAGCAGAGAAGGGGTGTGGGAGCTTCTAGGAGCAGAGTGGTCCCAAAGCTCAGAGAGAGTGAGGGAATAGGGGCCTCAGACCTATAGCTGCAAGGACCTGTGCTCTGCCAACAACTGGAATTGGAAGGAGATTCTTTCCCAAAGCCTCCAGACAAGAGCCCATCTAGCCAACACCTTGATTTCAGCCTTATGAGATATTGAGCAGGGAACCCAAGTGCCCACCCAGCTTTCTGACTACAGAACTATGAGATAAGGGGCTGTTCCTTTAAACCACTAAGTTTATGGTAATCTGTCATGCAGCAGTGGAGAACTCACATCCTATTTTCCGTATTTTTCTGTCTTTCTGTCTCCCCAGGCTTCATTCAGCTGTTTTCTTCCCTTGTTCACATCACTAATTCTCTCAGCCATAAGTAACATGTTATTAAACCCATCGACTGCCTTCATAATTTGATTATATCTTACAGTTCTAGAATTTCGTTTTTTTTTAATTTTTCATTTTTCCAACAAAAATTTTTCGTTTCACTTTTTATCACCCTAAACATAACATCATAGCTATTAAAAAATTTCAATCCAATAATGTCAATATTCCCTGTGGATCTTTCTTTTTCCTGTATTTTTGTGGATTTTATGCATGCAAAACTGTTCGCTATCTAGAAATAATTTAATATCCAGTGTGATGCTATCTTCCTCCAGGGAGAATTTACATTTACTTCTGCTGGGTACCCAGGGGACACTAGCAGTTTGGGTTCACCTCAGTTCAAGGTCAGCATGCTGACTGTAGTCCCTGCATGGGCCTCTTTCCTTCTGATTCATTCTTACTCCTAGGATGCAGCCCTTAATTGGTCCCAATTTAAAGCAAAGGAAGTTCACTAGGCCTCTTTAGAGGTGCTAGACTCCAGTCCCTGCTCTTGGCTCCACAGGTAAGTCAATAGTACTACTCAGTCTCTCAGCTGCTCACTCTAGAATTTTCAAATGCCCTCAAGGGAAAGACAGTGCCAAATCCAGGGCTCCCCTCACTAGGCTTCTGTCCTTCCCTGGAGCCTGGCTAATGATATTTCACTCACCTACTCCCTCCCTAGGAGCAAAGGTTCAGCATGGGGCTGGGGTGGGGCTGATGGGAGCCTACAGGCACAACAGTTTCATGGACACACATCTGAGTAACACCCCTATTTCTAGCCACTGTGTCATCTTTATTTTCTGTATCTGTCATCTCTACACCCAGAGCCTCTTTGGGGTTCTGCTACACAGTTCTCTTCCTTGCAGCGTCTCGGCTACTTACTCTCACTTCCTCTGCTGTTTTATCTGCACCAAGTTTCCAAACACTTCTTTTATTTCAGAAATGGTTTAAAAGCTCTCATTTATGCCCCTCTGTTCTCTTTGGGTGTTTGATCCACCATATTAGATCAGAAGTCCCGCACCATTTGTTTTAGAGGTGAAGTTATTAAGGCCCATAAAAACATATGAATTAAAGATCAGAGCAGAAATAAATAAAATCAAGAAGAGTAAAACAATAGAATCAATGAAACCAGGAGCTGGTCCTTCAAGATAATAAACAAAATAGATAAACCCCTAGCCAGACTTAGCAAGAAAAAAAGAGAGTCTACACACATAAACAGAATCAGAAACGAGAAATGAAAAATCACTAGGGACACCATGGAAATACAAACAATTATTAGAGAATACTATGAAAAATTATATGCTAACAAATTGGAAAACCTAGAAGAAACAGACAACTTTCTAGAAAAATACAACCTTCCAAGACTGATCCAGGAAGAAACAGAAGATCTGAACAGACCAATTACCAGCAATGAAATTGAACTGGTAATCAAAAAACTACCCAAGAACAACATCCCTGGACCAGCTGGCTTCACTGCTGAATTTTATCAAACACTTACTGAAGACCTAATACCCATCCTCCTTAA